TCAATCATTCAATCAATCAATCAATCATTCAATCAATCAATCAATCAATCAAGTATGTAAGTAAGTAAGTAAGTAACTAAGTAAGTAAATAGTACATTCTCAATCTCTTCCCATGAATGGATGGGAGTAAGTGGTTTATCATATAAGAAAGTTGAGAGGGGATAAAACTGGCCATGTTCTCTATATACAGTTTTATGCTCACACTACTTGTGCTTTTCATATGCAGCCTTTACTTTTTTTCCTCAAAAGGTAACAGGATGTGTGAGAAAAATAAAACCCTGTGGTTGGGGAAGCTACAGTGAGCTCATCTGACGTGGAATAGGCATGCATCCATTAATAGTATTTCCACGATGCCTTCTGTACTTCTGGCAAGTTCAGAGAAATGCATCCCGCTCTCCATACATATTCCTCCTATCATGACTGCTTGATTACACAATATATCCACCTATCATAACTGATCTGGAAGGTCAGAATTATATAATTAAATAGTAATCACAATTTATGACAGAAATGCCAATATTGAAGGGGAATACTGTGTTGCTATGTAATGTCTTTAAGCAGTTCTTTTGAATTTAACAGGGAAGAGCTGAACAACTGCGCATAAATACATAGCTAAATTGCTTACATACATATAGACATACATATTTTCCTCTGACTCTTCTAGAGTGAACGTAGCCATTACTATCTGGATTTCTCCTTAAAGGTATCACACATTGGCCTTGGGTATACCAAGTTGATTTATTACATAAAATATTTGCCCAAATCATTCTAATTCAATAATATCAATATGATATGAAATCTGATTATTTGAAAAATACAATTTAATTAAAATTATTAATCAAGACAGTACAAAATCTATATGCTTCCTTCTTATATTTTTTAACTATTGTAGCCTACCTTTCAAAACTGAGTTTTAATCAGAATATCAACATTCTGAAGAGCAATTAAAATACACAATAGTCATAATTAAAATTCAGAATAGTAAATGATAAAAGCAGAAGCTAGAGTATAGTAAAACCTTAAACCAAAGGTTTAATCAAATTAAAACAGATCATTTTGGGGAAGGAGTGTCAGTTAATTATGAATGTCTGTTAAATACAACTTGACATTATTTGCATCAATGTATGTCATCAATTTATATCATTTACATACTTATGTAATTGAGGCCTTTAGGCCATCTGTATCAATTTATACCATTCGCTTCATCACACAAATGATATTCATAATGTAAAAAACACCAAGTACATTAGTTATGCGCATCGCATAAACTAATGCAAATTATGTCAATTATGTCAATTGTCTGGACTGCTTCAGAAACAACATACATTCTTTAGGTATTCAATTTGAACTAATTGTTGTTTGTTGCATCTGAAGTCTGCTAAATTTGGACAATCAAGATTTTATTGCAGTTAAAAAATTTCATGCAGCATACAAATGTAAAATTAAGATACTAATCAATAATATGTGTGATATACAGTAATAAACATTTCTTTTCATGGCACCAAAAAGATAATAAAGTTAGTATTCTCTTTGGAGGAGTTATTCCTGAGTGAGGAGCTACTACTGGAAAACCAACGTGGTATAGTGGTTAAGATGGTGGTGTAGGACTGGGGCTACTTTGATTCATGAGTATCCTTATCCAAGTCTGCTATTGACCTTGGACCAGCCATTCCCACTCAGCCCATCTTACCTTGCAGGATTGCTGTTGGGATAAATCAAGGAAAATCCCCACATAAGCCACCTTGAGGTCTTGGAAGCAACTAGTCTATAAATCTAACAAATAAATAAGGACTGCTTCTGGATAGGCAATTGTTACATATCTGGGACTCTGAAGATGACTTCAGTGAACAGGTAGGAATTTACGGGGAAAGGCACTCTCTTAGAAATTGTTGTCCCAGGTCAAGGAGGGCTTTATACGTTAATATTAACACCTTGAATTGTGATAGAAAATGAACTTGAGGCAGTGTAAATTGTAAAATAACTGGCATAAAACTGCTTCAGTGTAGATCAGATACATAGGAGACCTACAGCCTTGTGTCACCAATAGACTGATGGCATTTTATTTATTTACACTCTTTACAATATTTATAGACTCCCCCAATCCTGCAAGAGTTGAGTAGTTCACTGGAAAGCAAAAATAAAATAACTGAAGCAGTAGAAGAACAAAACTCACAAATCAACCTAAGATTACGGACACTCCTATGATGGCACCCTCAATCAACTCAGGCCAATGGTGCACTGGAAAACCGTTCTGCAGCCTTGTGAAATGCAAAGAGGGATGGAATCAATCAAAACTCTCGGGTAAGTGTGTTCAGTTGCATGGAGGCTACAAACCCACCATGCAAGGTTGTTGTTTTGAGGAAAACAGGGGGACAGAACATTATGTATACTACTATGAGTTGTACAAAATAAAGGCGGGATATAAATCTAACAAAGAAATAAATGACAAAGCCTGCTGTCTAGCTCATGTCCCATAAACCTAAAGTGACCAAACATCTTTTATTATAAAGAGAGTCCTTTATTTCATAAAGCTATCCTTTAGATTTATTAAATTTAATTATTTATTTTCTTGGTTTTGCTCTTAGATTCTCCTTCGTAAAGCAAAGTCATAAACATAAACATTTTTTTAAAATCCTTATGGACCTCTCAGATTTGCCCCTTTTTCAGTTTTGTCTTTTATTTTTTCCAGGAAAATGTGATCACTGTTCATATACCTCATGGGGGTTAAGAACAGATGACACACAGGAGGCCCTCTCTAGATATCTGGATTATATAGGCAAATTCAGCTTTTGCAAGGGGCTGCCTGATGTGTCTTGGTACCTCACTGTCTAGGGAGTTAAAGGTAATGACCGCTTTGAAATGCACCTGGAACCAGTGCAGTAAGCATAAAATAGGTATTATTCTCCATTGGCAAGATTGTCCTGCCAATAATCTGGCCATGGTTTTCTGTAGCAATTTCAGCTTCCAAGTCCTTTCTAAAGGCAGTCCCATGTAGAGTATGATTCAGTAGTCTAAATGAGTGGTTATCAGGCTATGTATTACATTCACCAGAGCATCCTGGTTGAGATAGGATTATAACTGGCAGACCAAATGAAGCTGGGCCCAAATCGCCAGGCCATGGCTTCCACCTTCTGGCTTAGCAGGACCTGTGAGTCCAGGAGAACTTGCAAGTTATAAACCACCTTCTTAAGGAGGAACGTGATCCCATCCAGAGTAAATACTAGGACTGATATTGCCAGATGGTTGCTGACCCTGTCTTGGTATGATTTCTGAGCTTATTATCTATTTATTTATTCAATTTGTATGGCTGCCCGTTTCACCTAAGTGACTTAACA